CAGGGTATTCTACTTGCTTCAGTGCAGCATCAGGCGTATCGGTAACAGGCGTCTTGGCAGCAGGCATCATTGATGTATCAGTCTTTTCCTCAGTTGTATGGCTTAAGGAATTATGATTTCAATCCGTGTAAGACGCGCATCCATTTTGATCTTATGGTATTAATATTATTGATCATCAGTTTGTAAAAAGGCTATCGTGTGTTTACCCCGTGTGTTTAACAATCTTATACCCCATTTACACATACACGAAATCTAGTACTTATGAGATTTCGAGCCAAATCTAGTTGATTTTAACTCGATTTCCCATACAAAACAAAATCTACTTCGTTGCTAGATTTCGTTAAAATCTACACAAAATCTAATAGTTTTAAGTGATGCAACTCTGTTTTTTCCTAAAAAAATACGACGCTACACAAGAATTGAAAAACATGAATGAAAAGTTAATCTAATATTAAAGTTAATGTTATATTTAAATATTTATTTTTTTATTATAAAAAAATTTATAAAAATACCATTTTTACTTCTTATTTTTCATATCACACACTTTTTCGAGAAATATTAGAAAAAATTAAATCTTCCTAAATGTCAAGAAGAGTGAGTGTAAACGGTCTAGATTTGCTAAAAGATTTTAATTGAAACCCACTAGATTTCGTGTATGTGTAAATGGGGTATTACTTTATTTAGCTTATTTTAAGTTTCCTTGTACTTTTTCCCAATTGGATTTATTAAGAAAGAATGCTTTGTGCCGGTCCACACACAGAAACTTTAGTTGAGAAACTTTTTCTTAATTCTCTTCTAAAGTTTCCTTAATGTCTACACATAGGAATTTTTGTTTCAGAAACTACGTGTTAATTGCATTGATTTGTTTTTGTACGAATGCGAAGAATAACAAAACAAAACGAGTTTCCGAGTACGAGAAGCTCCGTACCGCGAGAGAGAGAATGAAATTTCTTTCTCTTTCTCTCTCACTTTTTTCATTTTATTTATTCTTTATTGAATTTTTCTTATGTAGAAATTTATAATAAGTATTAAAATCCTAAATTATAACTAACGTTGTTATTGCCGATGCAATTTCAACCAAAGTTCTCGATAATTTGATTATCTTGCAAAATCCAATGTTTCCGTTCTTCTCAGTCGTCTATAACCCTCAAATGACAGCAACTACCTGGCAAGGGTATTTGGGTGATCAATTAGTTTCAACAAGTATGTTAAACAAGAGAATTTGATCTCCTCGCGTATTATGGGGACATTGAGATCCCTAAGAATATTACTGTTGCGAATGTACTACGGGCACCTGTTATTGACCTTAACAGTGCTGACTGCTTTCTTTGTAATTTTTCAACATTATATGAGGAGGCTGTTCCCCACAGTTGAATGCCGTATAGCCACATCGGTTTTATAACTGTTTTGTACAAAAGCGCTTTGTATTCCAAGTCTAGAGCTGACCGTGGTTCAATTATCCAGTACATTTGAGATGACTTTAATTTTATTTGTGTAACTTGGCTTCAATGTGGTGAGTCCATGTTAAGCGGCGATCAAGGTGGATACCAAGATATCTCACATGGCTTTGTTCAGGAATTTTTATATTGTTTATCTGTACGGAAGGACAATTTTCTCGTCTTAATGTAAATGTAACGTGAGAACATTTTGTTGCATTGACCTTTATTTTCCATTTGTCCAGCCACTTTTCCAATTCGCCGATGTGAAGCTGGAGTTGTTCAGAAGCTATTGAAGTGATATCATGTATGCTTACAAAAGCGGTATCATCCGCCAATGTAGATGTGTGAGTCAGTGCGCTCGTTGGCATATCTGCAGTATATAAAATATATAGGAACGGACCTAGAATACTCCCCTGGGGTACTCCAGCAGATCTTTAGATCTGATTTGAAAAGATCTTTCATATATGTAATTTTTAAACAGTTTGTGAACATTCGCAGGTAGTAATGTGATAATTTTGTGTATTAGTCCATCGTGCCAGACTTTATCGAAAGCTTGAGAAATATCTATGAACAATGCTGAGCAATATTGCTTATTCTCGAAGGCCTTCCGAATAAGAGTAGTTATTCGATGTACCTGTTCGATAGTGCTGTTCTTTCTTCTGAAACCAAACTGATGGTCAGGAATAATACAATTATCATTAACGTGTACTATAAGGCTTTCAAGCAATAACTTTTCAAAAAGTTTTGAGAATATAGACAACAGGCTAATGGGACGGTATGAAGTCACTTGAGTGACATCTTTTCCTGGTTTTGGTATCATAACAATTTCGGATACTTTCCATGAGGTAGGGAAATATCCAATATGTAGCATCGAGTTAAAGATGAACAAAGTAATTCTCAGTGCTGAATTGGTAGTTTACTTATCATCGTGGTAGTAATTTTATCTATACCAGGTGATTTTCCTGCCTTTAGACCTTTGATAGTCGTCTTCACGGTATAGAACCGGAATTTTATTGGGCGTGGAACCACATTATTTATAATGTTAGGCCTAATAGAAGAATCTGTATCATTTTCAGTAAACACATTCTCCAAGTGATTGGCGAAAGCTTCAAGTTTTTCTAACGTATTTCTTGCCCATTGACCATTCTGGAGGCGTGCAATATGCAATAGGGTATTGCATATGTTTAACAGCATTCCAGAGACTATATTCTTTTTTCTTAGTAGGGTCTAAGTTTTTGAGATAATTTCTCACATTAGATTCCTTATTATTTTTTAAGGCGATGTGAAGTCTTCTTTGGCACTGATTAAGTTTAACCTTTATGTTTGGCGATTGTTGCCATTGACGTCTGAGTGTTCTGTTTTCTTTAATTAGAGACTCAATGTTCCTAGGACATTTCGAATTTTTGTAGTATCCCAAGGTAACTGGGGGTGTAGAAACTTTGACAGCATCTCGTAAGATATCCGTAAATATATCGACAGCGGATTGTATTTCATGGTCATTATACCCTACACCACTATAGTGGGAAGGGTATTATGCGTTTGTGCTGATGTTTGTAACGCATTAAAATATTAGTACTATACACACCTTAAAGTATACCGATCGACTCAGAATCACTTTCTGAGTCGATTTAACGATGTCCCTTCGACCGTCCGTCCGTCCGACCGTCCGTGTGTCCATGTAAACGTTGTTATCAAAGTACAGGGGGGTTATTGTGTATTTCGATTCGAATAAGAAAAATTACGAATTCGAAAAAATTGTATTATGGAATACGATTTTCGGAAATTTATTTACGAACTTTCGTAAATAGTTTTTAATTTTGGGATTTTTTTCTTCTTTCAAAAAATCAAAAAATTCCTTTCGTAAATGCAACCATGTATTACGAAAACATGTGTCAAATTCGTTATTAACGTTCGTAAATCATACGAATGCTATTTTGCTTGCGAAAAGAGGGAAAAACAATTTTAAAATGTAAGTTATTAATAAATACATATTTATACACTTGTTTGATTAATAAATGTAATAAAATTTCTAAAGGGTACAGTATGAAATAGTGGTAGATTTCATGGTTCAACATTCCGACTTGGCAAAGGGACACCTAAACGCTTCCAACGCAAAAAGTAAATCAAGAGAGTTATGGGAAAGACTATCCCTTGATCTTAATGCTGCCGGTCCACCAACACATGAGGTCGAAAAATGGAAAAAAGTAAGTATATATTTAATTCAAAATTTTATTGTTATAATACAAAAATGTGTTTATTGCATTTATGTTTCTAGGTATGGGCAGACTACAAACAACACATCAAGGTGAAGTCCCGCAGAAACAAAAATAGCCTTTCTGGAACAGGTGGAGGGCCAAGTAATTTCTGCTCCCTAACACAATTAGAGCAGCAAATCGCTGATTTGTTTGCTATTAACGAAAGTGTCGATGGTATGAGTGGAACTTATCGATATAGAGCTAAGAGAAAAAGGACATCAAGTGCAAGTGCTACGGAAGTTCCTACTCAAGTAGATGATATTGATATGGATACCACAGCAAATGATACAGCTGAAACTTTAGCTGACTTATCAAACGGTCAGAATACAGTCACTCCACGTTCTCGGCGTAATAGAAATTTTTCTAACAAGAACAATCTCTTAACAAAACAAGTGGAAAACCAAACAAAATATCAAGAAAATTCATTGGAGCTATTAACAAAAATTGACGAAAACCAGAAAAGTTCCAACAATGAATTAAAGGAAATAAATAAAAATCTTTTAACTTTAAATAAATATTTAAAACGTAGCTGTGAGTACAAGGAACGTCAATACAGATTAGAGAAAGAAAAATTTGAATATATAAAGAAAAATGAAATAGAAAAAACAAAAAGGAAAATTGCACAACTTGAACTTAAACAAAAAATGTTCGAACTGGAAGCAAACAAAACATTGTGAAAAGTTTTATCTTAAGACATTATTAGTAATCGTAATCAATTTTTAAATTTTGAAAACAACTGAAGTATTATAAACCTTTTTGAAATTTAAAAATTTATTGTTCTTATTTTTTCTTAGTTTTATATAAATTTAGTTACTGAATTGTTTTATGTTTTTAATAAATAGTTTATTGAAATTTAGTATAAACGTTTTATTAACTTTTTGTCATATTATTTTTAATTTCATTTCTAATATTTTTTGCAATATTAGAAAAATTACTTTCGATATTGTTAATGTTTAAAGTTATACTGCTTATATCCTCATTTTGCAAAATAGGGGTTTCAACTTTGTACAGTAAACAAATGTTATGTAGTGCACAACAAACATTATGAATTTGGACCGCCTTTTCTGGGGAGTAATGCAGTTCTCTTGCTTTTATATATTGCTTTTAATAATCCAAACGTTCTTTCAATAATCGACCTTCCTTTTGAATGTTGGTCGTTAAAATAGGATTCCGCGGAATTTTCAGCAGCATTTCTGTATGGAGTCGAAATCCATGGTTCCAATGGATATCCAGAGTCACCTGCAATAATAATCAATTATTTAATTTTTCTTCTCTTAACATAAAATAATCCTCTTACCTAATATTCTTGTTCCAGTATCACCAGTTTAGAACATTTCTTTTAAATATTCTCTCTCTTCTGATAAATTCCAAACATGTGAATCATGACAAGCACCTCCATAACGCCCATTAATAGCCCTAATGTACATTTCATGATCACATATCTATAAATTAGTAGCATTGAATTATTTTCATTTGTATCTATGTATATGCATGTCCACACTTACGGCCATAGCATTAATACTATGTTTCAGTTTCCTGTTGAAATACAAATATTCATTATTATTTGGCCTTATAATTTGAATATGAGTTCCATCAACGGCTCCAATTACCCCTGGTATGTAACATTTAGTATTAAAAAATCTTTTGGCTTCCATCCTTTTCTCTTCACACATTTCGAAAACAATATGCTTGGTACAAAGATTTGTTTGGATAGCTTCGCAAACTTCACCTATACAAGCTGAAATGGATGATTGCGAAATACCTAAGAAACGATCTTGGCCTATCTGGTGCTGATATCCACCTTGTGCCAAAAACTTTAATGTGGCTGCCAATTTCAACATTGAAGGAATAGATGTAGATGTTTGTGCAGCTTTTAAATCATCTTTAATAGAATTGAAAACGTACATAAATGACACTTTATTAAGTCGGAAATTTTTCACGAATCTGAAAGCAATAATACATTTAATTAAATATTAATATTTACAATTCTCAAATAATAACTTACGCATTTTCATTAATATCCATAATATTTGAATTATCTCTTATATATTTTCTTTCAATTCTTTCCGAAATAACGTCTTCCTCATCGCTTTCCCACAATAACACACGTTTAACGTTATTTTGAAATTTGCAAGAAAATGGACGAATTTTCAAAGTGCTGTAATTTTTTTTACATATCTAAACTTGGCAGCACTTGGAATTTCCCTTGAAAATGTAAATACAACTCTGTATATCTTCCGAACGTATTACACAATATGAATTAGTTTTCGAATCGGAATTTTACTTCGAAATGTTTTTCGTTTCGAATCGAAATATACAAAAACCCCCAAGTCGCAATTTTCAAGATAATTTGATGAAATTTGGAATACACGTTTGTTTTGACCCAAAGACGAAGCCTATTGAAAATGGTTAAAATCGGTCCATTATTTCACCTAGCCCCCATTCAACTGAACCCCCCGAAAAGAGCTTTTGAGCTCATAATTATTTATAATATATATGTATCTCGATGAAAGTTCGCACAACTAAGTTTTATACAAGCCTTGATGACCTTGCCGAATTTCGAAATGATCGGACTTCATTTGATCCTAGCCCCCACACATAGCCCCTTCAGAAAGTGACTTGAATATCCGCAATTCATTTATTAGCACTGTTATTGCAATGAAATTTAGCACAGACAAATATTATATATATACATTATATAAATCTATATATATAAAAATGAATGTGTGTTTGTTTGTACGTTTGAACGTTATAGACTACTAAACGGCTGAACCGATTTTCTTGAAATTTTCACAGCGTATTGCTGCATGTCTGGAATAGGTGATAGGGTACTTTTTATTTCGAAATTTCAAGTGGGCGATGAGCCACGCCCACATTAAGAAAATATAAAATCCGTATATTTGAGATAATATAACAGTTAGAGTCCTCAAATTTTTTCGGAGCCACTTTAGTGTCAATATGATCATTTAGGACAAAAAGTAGGCGGACTAGCATTAGGGACGTGGTACCTCCCATATAAATTAAACACAAAAATTCGTTTATCTGGGAAACTAATAGAACTAAATTCTTAAAATTTAGCACGAATAACTTTAACATCCATGTAAACATTTTGGGTAATAAATTGGCGGACTACCCATGAGGGGAGCGGCACCTCCCATATTAATTAAATACAACAATTCGTTTATCTGGGAAACTAATAGAACTAAATTCTTAAAATTTTGCACAAAGAACTTTAACATCCATGTAAACATTTTGGGTAATAAATTGGCGGACTACCCATGAGGGGAGCGGCACCTCCCATATTAATTAAATACAAAAATTCGTTCATCTTAAAAACTAATAGAACAAAATTCTTAAAATTTTGCACAAAGAACTTTAACATCCATGTAAACATTTTGGTTAATAAATTGGCGGACTACCCATGAGGGGAGCGGCACCTCCCATATCAATTAAAAACAAAAATTCGTTTATCTGGGAAACTAATAGAACTAAATTCTTAAAATTTTGCACGAAGAACTTTAATATTCATCTGAACATTTTTAAGGAAAAAAGAACGGACTTTCATCTGGGGGGACTTGGAGCCCCCATATGAATAAAATAGAAAAAATCGTATATCTGAGAAACTATTAGAACTAGAATCTTTAAATTTTCTTGAAGAACTTTGACATTCATTTGAACATTTAGAGTATAACGGGCGGACTTTCAATGTGGCGCTTGGCACCACATATATGAATTAAATACAAATTTTTCATAGATAGATAGAAATTGGCGAACTTGCAATAATTTGCTTGGTATCTCTCATATGTAACATATTGTTAATCTGGAAAACTATTGTAGTTAGAATTTTCAAAATCGTTAAGTGGGTTTTTTATTTAATCAGTTTAAACGTCTAAACTGATTTTCATGAAATTTTCACAATATCTTCCTGCATGTCTGGAAGGAGTTATAACAGCTTTTTATGTTGAAATTTGAAATGAGCGAGGTCCCACGTATAGAGTCTCCAAATTTTGTACAAGTAACTTTTGTTTAAATACAAATATTTTGGACAAAAATAGGAAGTTCAGCAAAAGCGGGCGTGGCACCTCCCATATGAAGTAAATACTAAAATCTAATTAGTAAAATCTGTATATCTAGAAAACTATAACAGCTAGAGTCCCCAATTTTGGTGCCTCTCACGTGAAGTAATTACAAAAAATTATATATTCTTATCTATCTATCTATCTATCTATCTATCTATCTATCTATCTATCTATCTATCTATCTATCTATCTATCTATCTATCTATCTATCTATCTATCTATCTATCTATCTATCTATCTATCTATCTATCTATCTATCTATCTATCTATCTATCTATCTATCTATCTATCTATCTATCTATCTATCTATCTCTATATATAAAAATGAATGTGCGTTTGTTTGTATGTTTATATGTTTGAACGTTATAGACTACTAATCGGCTGAACCGATTTTATTCAAAATTTCTCAGCGTATTCCTGTATGTCTAGAATAGGTAATAGGCTACTTTTTATTTTGAAATTCCGAGTGGGCGAGGAGCCACGCCTATATTAGGAAAATATTAAATCCGTATATTTTAGATAATATAACAGTTAGAGTCCTCAAATTTTGTCGGAGCAACTTTAGTGTCAATATAATTATTTAGGACAAAAAGTAGGTGGACTATCATTAGGGGGCGTGGCACCCTAATAGTTAGAATCTTCAAATTTTGCACGAAAAACTTTAACATCCTAAACATTTTGGGTAATAAATTGGCGGACTACCCATGAGGGGAGCGGCACCTCCCATATTAATTAAAGACATAAATTCGTTTATCTGGGAAACTAATGGAACTAAATTCTTCAAGTTTCGCACGAAGAACTTAAATATTCAACTGAACATTTTAGAGGAAAAAAAGCGGACTTTCATCTGGGGGGTCTTGAAGCCCCCACATGAATCAAATATAAAAATTCGTATATCTGAGAAACTATTAGAGCTAGAATCTTCAAATTTTACATGGAGAACTTTGAAATTCATGTGAACATTTAGAGCATAAGGGGCGGACTTTCAATGGGTGGCTTGGCACAACATATATGAATTAAATACAAAATTTCATGCATCTTGCAAACTCTTATATTATTCAAATTTTTTATAGATAGATAGAAATTGGCGATAGATAGAAACTGGCGAACTTGCAATAATTTGCTTGACATCTTTCATATGTAACATATAATAAATCTAGTATTTATTTATACATATTCGTTTTAGGGTATTTATTATGAGCCTGAAGTTTCATTTTATAAAAAGATGAGTTAGCTTTGGATGAGGTAAAAGCTTTACTACTTGCATATCAATACAAATCAGTAAACATAATCCTGATTTAGCACTTTCAATATCTCGTTCTTTTTCACATCTCATTTTGTCAATTTCATTTCGATGATTTTCAAATTGCTGTTTTGACAGGTTATTTGCCTTATAAGACAAAAATAAATAAAGCATAATTTGATGTTTTAAATAGTTTCATAAAATTAGGAAACGATACAGACCCTATTTCATTTTCATTATTTTCATTACATGAGGCTAAATAAAGATCATATATCTCTTTATAACTATTAAAATCTTCTCCAAAATATATCTTTTTGCTATATTGACGACGATAGTGAGAATCTAATTTAGGTAAATCTTCTAACCATTTTCGTAAATAATTTAGTTTTATATCATATTGTGCTCGTTGGACTCTTGCTTCTTCAGAAACTATTTGAAGAGAATCAAAGTTAATGAAACATGCCCATGGTCGTATCATTTTTTCCGATAAGCCCAATGTAGACAAAAACATTTGTCTACATACTTGGATACGATTTGTGTCGTGTTTTAAAAAGTAATGTTTTGTGATAAATCGTTTGGAATTCTCGGCAGAAATACGTTGTCTTTTTGAACATTCAACGAGGCTTTTAACATACATATTATGTATATAAATATCAATTAGAACTCTTTTAAGATGAAATTATTTTATTTGGTAAATTGTCTTAAAATGTTTGCAATTTATAATTCTTCAATAAAAAATAGTTTAACGATAAAACCTATCAGTTGTTTTGACAATTTGTAATGTTGTATATATAAGCGGTTAGTTAGGCCTTTGAGCATTTATCATAAATTCGCTTTTGTAGATAGGGCCGTTTGTTTTTTGTTAATAAAGTCTCTATTTTCGGTCATATGAGTCCATTTTTTTTTTGTGTAGATGTGTTTTGTAGTACATCAGAATCAATGAAAAAGTCGATTTTGAATTTTTTGTTAGTTAGGGCCGTTTGCGTTTTAGGTGACGATACATTTTATACTTTAACCAGTTCGTCTTCTTGTTAGGAAAACAAGAACAATAGGATTTGGTTCCAATTTTGAAGTCCTAGGGCTGGATTTACGTTTTGTATAAATGACATAACGGTCCATTCCCGTTTGGAACTTTTCCGTTTTATGCAAGCTCAATGTATTTGGATTGTTTTTGGTATGGCACCATTATTCTTTGACATTGGGCTTGAGTGACCTTCCTTATCATTAATGGTTTTTATAGTGTTAATATTGTTATTTATACTATTTGTGATATTGTTCACATTAGCATTACTATTTTCATTAACCATTGTATCAGTTGTTTGTTTTCCTATTTTTATACCCACCATCAAAAAAGATAGGGGTATATTGATTTTGTCATTCCGTTTGTAACACATCGAAATATTGGTCATAGACC